CTTAAATTAATTAATTTCCATAAATCTATACCTTGCCATGTGGCTTGTGGCTTACCGGCATCTTCACATGCTGCTTGTCATGGTAGCGGCTGGCAGTGTCTCCCCACTCAGCCTTCCACTTCCCAGAATTCTCCTCTCTCCTTGTCCGACCTATACTTTCTGCCTGGCCACTGGCCAATCAGTGTTTTATTTATACAGAACGATATCCACAGCACACATGTTCATATACAAGGCAAGTCTCAGCAAATACAAGAAAAACAAAATAACACCATGGAACAATAGGGTCTGAGAACACCAGCAGGTGTTCTGTTACAGAGAGGGGATGAGACTGGATAGATTTAAATTGGAGGAGAGAAGGGGGTGAAGATAGGCAGTTTGGCCTACCTGCCTCTCTGACTGGCATAGCTTGCAGTTTACCAGGGAATGCCTTTGAGTTGGGGCCTGGAATAAATTATTTATTAGATGAACAGTTATAACAACAAATAATACACTTTTAATTTAACATGTCTCTAATGACCCAAAGGTAACATGAATTGCTAAATGGTCTTATTAATAAAAAACCTGGAGCTAGATATTAGGGTATGCGGGATGACTCATCCCTAATAGGCATTAGGGCCAGACAGCCCAAACCAGTAATAAGATACTTTCTGAGAGCCAATTAGGGTCTTCCTAAGGACCTTAGCAACAGCAACTGAGACAGATCTGGAGATGACCTGGACCAATGAGAGGCAGCCATGTCATACCAACAGATGCATATTCATCTTCTCCCAGGGCAGGGTGGGGGAATATATAAGGCTTGCCTGTTCCTGAGTGAACTGAGCTTGTTGTTTTGACATTCTCCTGGAGTCTGTGTCATTGACTCTGTACCTACTCACCCTCTGCCCCCAAGGGGAACATCACAGAACCCTGCTCTTGTATAATATTAGTGGGACCAGTCTTAATATTATGCATCCCAGAGGCTCAGGAGAGAAACTACGAACATCAAGGACTATTTGGAGAAATAGAATCTCAGCACACAGAGCTCTTAGTCCAGTCATTTATTCTTCCAAATCTTCTTCTCCTTTTTCCCATGCCCTGGGAGTCCAAATATATATATATATACACACTTACAAGCAGTAATCCCTTAGCAGTTCAAAGCCAGGCTTCTAGGGTCAAACAGAGGGGTGATAAGAATCACATAGAGGTGCAATAACCATTAATTATCCTTTGCAACCCCAAAGGGAAGTGACCAATAAGGAAATGAATTAACTAAAGGCTAAATTCTAAGAAGAGGGATCTTATATGCTCAATTATAGTTTTAAACATGATTGGTAGAAAATATTAAGAATGTATAAGTTGCTAGGTAGGGGAGAAAATAAAACTGCCTTCTTTTTTCCTGTGGCTCCTATCTGTTCAAGCTATCTGCCATTTTTCTGCAGGGTGGGGGAAATTGTGCTCTGTCCCTAGGAAACCTGTGTACAGCTAGATGCCTCTGGTGATAGTTAAAGGGAGATCTGGAACTAGCGGTAAGATTTGGGAAAGGAAGAAGTTAAGCTTAATTGGCACATCTGCCAGGCCTTCTCAAACAGGTAGTCTGGATGGTTAAGTATGTTCTTAGAGAGTACAGAGGTATCTCTGATAAGGTACTTTCCTCCATCTGAGGTTGGACCTGGCTGGATGCTGCCACTGATGATAATTATAGGTAGGCTTGAACTGGGGTTCTGGCTGAGCATAACTGTCAGTGCAGAAGGTTATCTAAACATTCCTAGAAGTGGTTAGGGTAAGGAGTTAGAGGTCTATAAAGTTAGTAATGCTGTAAGAAAGGCGGGTCTAAGCTAAATTGTGTAAAGCTATTACTTAATGTCCACCTGACCTAGGTGGTGTCTTCTTGTGGAATTTACCTTAAATCAGGAGACTATCATGTGGACTGTTATCACTGTTAGTCTTTGAAAGTGGCTAACGGAAATATCTGATTACACAGGAAGCCTTTCCCAAGGCTGTTCTCCAAATACCTTGAATGTATATGTCCACAAAGTGATCAGTCCATACTGTTAGCCCTTTGCCATAACCAGCTGAGTTCTTATGATATATTCCTGTGGCCTGCCACATCTGGTGCTTGAACTGGGACCTATTTGTCTCCCTTTCCTCACACGTGGTGCTGGATGAGTATCCCCTTGAGTGGTGTATTTCAGTGATTAGGCCCCTCTAAGTTGTGTGCTTTTGGTCCTTTTAACAGCTAAGCATTGGGACTGCCCCCCCTTTTTCTTGTTGTTTTTCTCATGTCTGTATGGTAGGGCGGCACATACTTTTGTTCAGGCTCACCTGTCATTTACATATAAGGGCTGGACCCTCAGGAAATGGAGCTACAGTCTCTGTCTGTCTCTCTCTGTCTCTGTCTCTGTCTCTGTGTGTGTGTGTGTATGTGTGTGTGTGTGTGTGTGTGTGTGTGTGTGTGTGTGTG